CAGGCATGTGCCACCATGCCCAGCTAATGTTTTGTATTTTTAGTGGAGACGGGGTTTCACCATGTTGACCAGGATGGTCTCGATCTCTTGACCTCGTGATCCACCCGTCTCGGCCTCCCAAAGTGCTGGGATTACAGGCATGGGCCTCCACCATTTTAAGACGCCGGAACACCCGTGAGGGGACGCGCACTCCCAACGGGGCGGAGCTAAGAGCGCCGCGCCCAAAAAAGGCGGCAAAGTCCCTGACACGCTGAGAACTTGTGAGTCGCCATGTCTATGCTCTCCGACGGCACGCCGTGCTTCCCCTCAGGCACCTTTCACCGTTAGGGATGACGGCCCCGCGGCGGTTCTGGGTATGGTTCTGATTCACCGCCATCTTCCTTCGAGCCTCCTCCCGCCGCCCCGCAGATGGAAAGGGGCGGGGGGGACCTGCGCCGATACGTGGGGCGGGGCTCTGAGAGGGAGAGCGGGGATTATGACGCAAGGAGGAGGAGGTGCGTGATCGCGTCACGTGATTAGGGCAGTGGCCGGAGGGCAGGGAGGAATCAGGGTGGAGGCACCAGCCGAGAAAGGGGCGGGGCCTGGGAATTGGTTCCGCCCCCGGAGCGCTAAAGGGTAATAGGAGAATGGCCTCCCGACCTCAGCTGTACCCTTAGCCCCCTGCCTGCGGGTTTGGACTGGGGTTGGTCCTGTCAAGAATGAAAATTAAAGGCAGCCGACCCGAGAACCCAAGCAAGGATTTCCCTGCGCCCTCCCCGCCCCGCCAGGAAGCCGCTGCCTTTTGCAGAAAGGGTCCAGAATAACTCCTTGCCTCCCTAGGCGCACAGAACTTTCTTCCACCGGCGGAGGCCCGGAGGCCCCTGAGGAGTCCCTGCCAGTTCCAAGATCGACAGCGCCTTTGTCTCTGGGTCATCGTTCATGCCTGCCCTGCCTCCTCCAGGGTGACCGTTCATGCCTGCCCTGCCTGCTCCAGGGTGATCGTGGGAATGGAGCGGGACGTGTTGTACCGGAATTGCTTTGAGAACTAAAATGTTGTACATGTTCTTATTTACTTTAAACTTCACAAATACAGGCCAGGAGTGATGAATCACGCCTGTAATCTCAGGACTTTGGGAGGCCCAGGCGGGAGGGTCACTTGAACTCAGGGGTTCAAAACCAGCCTGGGCAACATGGTGAGCCTTATCTCCACCTTTTTTTTTTTTTTTTTTTTTT